TCCTTTCCCTATCTCCCTCCCCTTGTGAGTAAGGGCCAAGGGCCACGCCATCGACCCCATCAGCGTTGCGCAAAGAGAGGTTCTGGTAGCACTTCGTGGTCAGTACGTCTGGAGCAGCATCTTCAGAACTTGCGCTTCGCGGCTCAGGACGAGCTTGCGCCTGGACCAGTGGCGCCCTTCGACCACGCCCTCAGCTGGACGTGGCCCTGCGACTTCGACGTCGGCGAGCGGACCCAGTGGCTCATTCGGCCCTTGACCTGGGTGCTGAACGAGCTGCGCGGGGCCCGGCGGCTGGCCTTCGTGAGGCGGGCGCCGCCGAGCCGCAACGACCCCGGCGGCATCAAGGACGCCAAAGCTGGACTGGACGTCTCACGCAGTCGCGAAGCAGCATCCTGGCCAAGAACCCGACCACATGCAACCTGTGAGCACCGCAAGGCAGGTGGGACAAAGGAGGGGGAGCTCCGTATTGGGGCCACGAGACGCGCGAGGATGTGCCGGCATGGGCCGGGGGGCGCATGTGGACACTGGAGTTCCAACGAGCAGGCCACGAAACGCTGTACTGGGTGGCGCGGACGCATGTGATCACAGCTACTGGGGCCTTCGGTGAAGCTCCATATGGGGCCACGCAGCGCTGTACTGGGTGGCGCGGACGCATGTGATCACAGCTACTGGGGCCTTCGGTGAAGCTCCCTATGGGGCCACGCAGCGCTGTACTGGGTGGCGCGGACGCGTGTGGTCACAGCCACTGGGGCCTTCGGTGAAGCTCCCTATGGGGCCACGCAGCGCTGTACTGAGCGGGGGGGACGCATGTGATCACAGCCACTGGGGCAGTCGGTGGAGCTCCCTTTGGAGCCACGAAGCGCTGTACCGGATGGCGCGGAGGCATGTGATCACAGCCAGCTGGGGCCTTCGGTGGAGCCCCATATGGGCCCACGAAACGCTGTACCGGGTGGCGCGGACGCATGTGACCACAGCCACTGGGGCCGTCGGTGCAGCTCCGTATGGGGCCACGAAGAGCTGTACCGGGTGGCGCGGACGCATGTGATCACAGCCAGCTGGGGCCGTCGGTGGAGCTCCCTAAGGAGCCACGAGACGCTGTACCGGGCGCGCCGAAGTGGTGGATATGCGGAGGGTAGAGGCAAGGATGGGAGAAGGGGGAGGAGGATCAGGAGGAGGAGAAGGAGGAGGAGGAGGAGAAGACGGAGGAGGAGGAGACGGAGGAGGAGGAGGAGGAGGAGGAGGAGGAGAGGGATAAGGAGGAACGCGGGGCGTCGTCTCTTCGAAAAAGGGACCACAAGATGGTTGGGAATCAATTTACGCTTTGGCAGCAGAACTCGTTCATCACGCACGTGCCGGGTGGCGATCATACGCAGAAGCGGTTATGTAGGGACCAGACCTCCGAAGACCCGAGCCCAATTTAAAGGTTCTGCGATGACCCCGACCTCCTCAGCCCCACCCCAGAGATGACCCTCCTCGCACAAGTGCGTGAGATGATGACGACGGCATTCGGTAGACGTGGGTAGTTACGGACCAGGCGTGTGTGGCAGCATGTGATCCCCACCCCGTTCGAACAAGCTTCGCTGTATCCGTTGCCGAGGGGCATGTGCATAGAGTGTATGATCCACTCCCAAACGCCCAAGGAGCAGAGGATTTCATCCTTAAAAAATATATGCCGCATCTGCGATAACCCCGTATACGTTTTGATCGGAAGCACATCCATAGTACATGTTTTGATCGACAACAAATCCATCGCCGATGTTTGCGCCGCCTTGCTCCAATGGACCCCAACACCTCCAGGAATTGCCCACCAGGGCGTCTGGGACAACATCTCGGTAACAGTCGATGCAACGAAAGGAGTAGTTGAGATGGACGCACATACGGTCACATCTTGGGACAGCTAGGATCGATCGTGGGGTATCACAGCCAAAACAGACTACATAAATTGACGGGCTCATGAACATGCGACTGCTTTTGCTCGAAGTCACGCCGCGCCGGGGTTTCTGATTGAGTCCCTCCGCGCGCGTTTATTATTAGCTGCCACGCTTCATAAGGCAACTGTCTCGATTCGTGATCGACGGGCCAACATCCGCCCCATGTACCACAGATGCGGGGTATACACAGCACCCCGCCAAGCAGATCGACTTTCTTTTCTCCCCCCCCCTCGACACCCCAGGCTCCCTTTCCACACCTGTGGCGTCCCGCTCCGCGGAATGGCTTTCCTGGTCCCCGTTCGCTCTCCTGGGCTTTGCCGCGCGGCGTCTGGACCCAGCGTGATGTGTTCGGCGAGGTGGTTCGGCCACGGGAGATCCCCTCGGCAGGCGAATTGGCGACCCGATATCCCAGGCTGTGTACAGGCGGCAGCCGAGTAACACCGGTGCACACACCCCAGAGTCGGTCGCTCTCGCTCTTCCTCTCTCACAGTCTAAGCCTAAGCATGAATCCCACAAAGCACACGTGGCAGGAGAGCGGGAGAGCGGGCTACCCCCTCCCTCCGCCTCCTCCTCCCCCGCCGCCGCCGCCGCGACTCCAAGAGGTTCGGGGAAGAGCGTGCCGATGCCCATGCCGATGCCCCTCCGTTGCTCACCCATCGAATGACCACTCAAGACTGGATGGCCCATCTTGGGCATCTTGAGTGGCCATCTTGCGGCGTCGATGGGGTCCCTGGGAACCCCTCGACGACGCGGCGGGGCTCGCGTCGGGATCCTGGCCAGCCAGCACCCTGGGTGAGGTCTGGGGGGCAGCGGTGTCGACATCTTTCGCTGGACAGCTTGTCTGCAAAGGTTCTGCACAATGCTTGAACTGCCTGGTGAGGAGCGCAGGCCCCCGAAATTGATCGCCCATGGTGGTCCCCCATCGTGGCCCAAAATTGTGGTCCAAAACTCTGGCCCTCATCGTGACCTCCCATCGTGACCCCCCGTCGTGGCCCCCCTATTGTGGCCCTCGACCGTGAACGGTGTAAAGCTGTTCAGGGACCTCCGCCGCAAGAGTGCAAGTGGTGTGTCACCCCAGAGGTGCATACGTACATTTTGCCCACTCATCTTGGAATTGCCCAGAGCCTTAACGGGCCCTGGAAACGACAAGGCAATTTTTCTACCGGCTCCGTTTTTCCGTTTCTTTGCCGGTTCCGGCGCCGTTTGTTTACCGGTTCCGTCGCCGTTGGTTGACCGGTTCCGGCCCCGGTTCCAGTCCTGGAGCCGCTTTTTGCCGTTTCTGGTCGCCGTTGTCTTGCCGTTTCCATTTTCGAGGGGCACTCTTTTGGAAACGGTGAAAAAGCGGCCCTGCCGTTTCCGGGGCCCACAAAACCCAGAGCCGCCTGGGGTAACCCCAGGAAGCATTTAAGAACCCCCCCCCCCGGCAAATCGATAACCCTTCCGCACCATCATCCATATCCGCATCATCATCATCATCATCATCATCATCATCATCATCATCATCATCATCATCATCATCATCATCATCATCATCATCATCATCATCATCATCATCATCATCATCATCATCATCATCATCACATCACCATCATCATCATCATCATCATCATCATCATCATCATCATCATCATCATCATCATCATCATCATCATCATCATCATCGTGTCCGGGTGCTACAGCTATCGTTCGGTTATTTCGGCCCTTCGGAATATCGAATAAAAAATGCGGTGCTACGATATCGCCGGGGGGGTTCTTAAATGCTTCCTGGGGTTATCCAAGGCCTTCGACGCGCCACGATCTCTTCGCAGCATTGCTCCGCCCCGGCGCCGTTCCCTCGCGGCCACGGCGGCCCGAGAACGGAGCTCGAGGCCGAGCGCTCGCGGAAGAGTGCCCCGCCGCCCTGCCCCCACCCCTCTCCACAAGTCCTCCTCCTTCCTTCCCCTTTCTCCTAATCATCCCATCCCCCTTCGTGAAGGCGTCATAACAAGAGGAGAACACGGAGGATGAGGAGGAGGGAAGAGAGAGGGAAACGAGGAGGTGGAGGCGAAGCAGAATCCCCAGGAGGCCGCAGCAGGGAAAGGAGAGGATCAGGATCGGGATCTCGAGGAGGACGACGGGAGGAGGGAGGAGGAGGAGGAGGACAGCGAGGAGGGAGAAAAACGCCGAGGAGTAGAAGCAGGATGATGGCACGAGGGGATCGAGGAGGAGGCGACAGCACCACCCAGCCAAGAGGACCTTCAGGCGCAGGCGCCGCAGCTCGCCCAGCGAGAAGAAGCGGACCTGCCCCAAGAGGCCCCCGCAGACGACGACGACGACGGCGACGGCGACGGCGACGGCGACGGCGACGACGACGACGACGACGACGACGACGACGAGGGCGGCGGCGGCGGCGAGGACGACGAGGACGAGGACGAGGATGACGACGACGACGACGACGACGACGACGACGACGACGACGACGACGACGACGGCGACGGCGAGGGCGAGGGCGACGGCGAGGGCGACGGCGATGACGGCTGCGGCGACGGACCCGCGCGAAGGCCCCCCTCTGCTTACCCAAAAGGGAAAGCCAATCGGGCCGGACTTCCGGCATCTTCAAGGCCGGGGCCGCCGGGACGATGCAGGCCCCTCCTGCGTCGTGGCCAGATGTTCCACGAAGTGGCTTCTGGCCGTCCTCGGACTCCGGGGGCCCTTGCCAGACTCAGGGGTCGCCAGCAGAACTACCGGGCACGGAGCAAAAACAATAGAATGGGGTCGGCAGCCCCGGGGGTCCCACGCCCTGAAGAAGTAACGTCGTCTGGGGTCTGGGAAACCTGAGCTTTCGAGCTCAAATGCTGAGCCCCCATTGAGCTCGAGATGAGTCCTCGAGATCCATATCCCGAACCTAGAGACCCCCCCAAGCCATCCATTGTTAAATCCGCATGTCTACCAGCCAGCCTGCCAGCCTGCATGTCTGTCCGTACAGAACCCCAAAACAGAATTTGCACGTAAGGGGTCCCCACACACAGCATTCAGTCAACATGTCGGGTTTTCGCCGCGTTGCGGAACCGTGCCGCCACGAGTAGGCGCCCCACGCTTGCGGTGTGTGTGTCGGCATTTCGCCACGTTGCCACGGATTTGGCCGCCTCGTGGGTGCCACGTGTGTAGCCTGCACTTGGTGTGTGTGTTTCGTGCCAGGCAACGCCGATACCGAGCAGAGGGGGCAAAGGACAAGGGGCTGTGCCAGCCTTCCTGGAACACATGAGCCGCACCGCGGTGCGACGTCTTCGCTTCGCGAAGCTCGGAGGACGATCTTATTATCTGGCTCTCCAGGGGCGGGGGCGGGCAGGCAATTCGAACCAGGATGCTGTGCTGCTCGGGGCGCAAAGCAGCGTGGCAGGGCGTCCCCACGTGGCAAAACGACCGTCGCGTGCGCAGCGCGTCCCTACTCCGGGGAGCTCTGGAACAAGCGTATGGTAGTCAGCCGAACTGCAGGGCCCCTCCTCCCTCCTGCAACTCCAGCGCTAACCAAGCACCACAATCAGCTTGGCGCTTTGAGGGGCGCGCTTATCTTGGGCGAGCTCTCTGTCAAAGCGAGGTGGTCAGCCATGAAATCCTGATCCTTGTTGTACCCTGGCAGGCAGTACCGGCTCATGGCTTCCACGCCCTGCTCGAGCTCGTGGAACGTCAAACGCCCATTGCCGTCCTTATCCATCCGCTGCATGATGCGAGAGACCTGCTGGTCTGTGGGCTCCCTGCCGTCGAAAAAATGCCTGGCGAGCGCCTTCACCTCGTCGGGTGAGAGCGACCCGTCGCCGTTTGCGTCGAGCGCATCGAAGACCTTGCGGAGGTCTCCAAATTTACTCTTGTTGAACACAAGAAACTCCTCCCAACTTTTCGCCATGGTGATGCCGTACTTTGCGGCAAATTCATCCATTCCTGCGGGCGCACGTGCACCAAATGGATATATGACTGGCTCAGGGCGCTTAGCGTCGATCTCATGCAGTAGAGGTGTGAAGATGCGCCATGCCTCTGTCAACTCACCGCTGCCGACGAACAGAGATCCGTCGCCCTTAGCCGTATTTAAAAACATGCGCTCGTAAGCGTCGGCCACATAGATATCAGGAAAGCTCTTGGTGTAGCTCATATCCATCACCACTGGCGCGGCCCTCTTCGGGTCCCATCCAGGAACCTTGTTAAGGTACTTGAAATATACTGCCTCATCTGGCTGGATGCGCAGGACGAGTTCATTCGAGTCCCCCGGGATAATGCTGTTGAAACTTTGTGGCTTGAACGTGATGCGCACTTCCGCCATGCGCTCATCCAGGCCCTTGCCGGCGCGCATGAGGAAGGGCACTCCCTTCCACCGGGCATTGTTGATCTCGAGCACCACGCCGGCATAAGTTGGGCACCGCGACCCTGCTGGCACAGTCTCGTCGTCGAGATAGCCAGGCTCTTGGTGGACTTTGCCTCCAGAACACTCCCACGTGTTCTTTCCGAACTGCCCTAGGAAAGTGTCCTTCATCTTTAGAGGGGGTATGGCCTTCAACACCTTCACCTTCTGCTCGGCAACGCTTTTACGATCGTACTTGGCTGGAGGTTCCATGGCCAACCAGATGAGCACCTGCAACAAGTGGTTCTGCATAATGTCGCGGATGATGCCAGACTGATCAAAATATCCACCACGGCCACCTGTGCCCAAGTCCTCCTTGAAGACTATCTGCACACTTCGAATATGTTCTTTATTCCAGAAGCTCTCGAATATCTGGTTGCCGAAACGCATCGCCTGAATGTTCAGCACGATCTCTTTACCCAGGTAGTGGTCGATCCGGAAAATCTCATCCTCGGTAAACAGCTTGGAAGTGCAAGCGTCCAGCTCTGCAAAACTGGCACTGTCTCGACCAAAGGGCTTCTCGAGAATGAGACGAGTCCATCCACCACCTGGAGCCTTAGCGCTGGTGTGGATGCACTTGACCACGTCGCCAAAAATCTGGGGCGGAATGGAAAAGAAAAACAATCGGTTAGCCTTACCACCGCCCTCGAGCTTGAGGAGGTGCTCGTGCAGTCCCTTGTACGAGTCGGGAGAATCGTAAGGTCCAGAAAAGAAAGAGCACTGCTTGAGGAACTTCTCCTTCTGGCCTCCCTTGACGTTGACGCACTGCTTCGCCAAGAAGTCGTCGAGCGCGACAGGAGAGCGTCCGTAGCCCACCACGTTCGCGTTTTGTGGCACCAGCGGCGCGCCAGGGCATCCGAACATAAGCTGGTACACAGCAGGATACAGCTTCTTCTTTGCGAGATCCCCCGTCGCACCGAAGATCACGATAGACATCGGCGTGACCATGTCCACTTCATGGGCGTTGTCCTTCATGTGGCTCATGCTCGAGCCCCCTTCGGTAACCTTCTGGTTCCTCAAGCGGAGGCATGCCTCCGCAGCCTGCTCTGAGATCTCACCGAGGCGCTCCTTGACAAAATTAATGAGCTGACCTACGGTCGGCACCTGCCCGACTTCTTGCTCGAAGCGCTCCAGCCAGTCTCGAGCAGTCATTGTGCTTGGACTCCTTGAAGTCCTCACAGGTGTGGTCCCGTTGCGACCGCTCACGCATAACTGCCCCTCTTCATCCTTGTCACCCGAGCAAGCCTGCCCCATGAAGCAACCAACGCGGACGAGGCGGGGGAAGCTGCACCCCACAGCCAAGTGCAGATTCAGTTGAGGGGGGAGACTGGGAGGGGGGAGACTGGGCCTTCAGCCACAATGACTTGAGCCAAAATGGCTACGGACGCACTTGGTGTGTGTGTGTGTGTGTGCGTGTGTGTGTGTGTGTGTGAGTGTGCGTGTGTGTGTGTGTGTGAGAGTGTGTGTGTGCGTGTGCGTGTGCGTGTGCGTGTGCGTGTGCGTGTGCGTGTGCGTGTGCGTGTGCGTGTGCGTGTGCGTGTGCGTGTGCGTGTGCGTGTGCGTGTGCGTGCGTGCGTGTGCGTGCGTGCGTGCGTGCGTGCGTGCGTGCGTGCGTGCGTGCGTGTGTGTGTGTGTGTGTGTGTGTGTGTGTGTGTGTGTGTGTGTGTGTGTGTGTGTGTGTGTGTGTGTGTGTGTGTGTGTGTGTGTGTGTGTGTGTGTGTGTGTGTGTGTGTGTGTGTGTGTGTGTGTGTGTGTGTGTCGGGTTTTCGCCACGTTGCCACCCGTGACGCCTCGTGGGCGCCGCGCGTTTGCGCCGTACGCATTGGGGGCATGTCGGGTTTTCGCCACGTTGCCGCCCGTGCTGCACCGTGGGCGCTTCGTAAGCTTGCACGGCATAGCCTGCACCACATAGCTTGCACTTTTTACCAAGGAGCCCAATGGCAGAGGGCAGAGAGACGACGGACGAAAGGACGAAACGACGGGGGAGGGGGGGGGAAGGGAGGGGGGCAAGCCAGGTGCGCTTGCGTCATATCGAACGTCCTAACCCTCCCCTATCCCTTACCAATGTGGCTTAAGTTGAAGTTCAACCCTGAGCTGAGGAGCACGGTGCCCAGAACCTTGAAGAGGTTCTTGGAGCACCCAGGGTTCCGACAAATTGCGATGCAGGCGATGCGGTTTGTGCCTGACATCCGAATTACTCATTACAGGGGGCTCCCGAACGTAAGCGAGCGTCTCGGGGCTCTGGGTAGTGCTTCTAGCTGATAGGAGGCGTTAGGGGTAGGTAGGTGGGATTGTCATTGTTGTCATAGTGCAGTTGAAACGTAGGGCGTGCAGAGCAAATTCACACAAATCGTCGTAACAATTGTGTGGTGCTGTCTGCCCGTAGCTTTTGGCTCTCAGTTTGGAGGGGGCTCAACAACCAGTCCACCATCCCAAGAGGTGGGGGAGCCAGTGCAAGAGCGACTAGCACATTGCAGATAGACCGCGAGGCCAAAAAGAGAGGGGCTTCAGCGGCCGAGAAAATCAACGAATCGAAGCCGAATGTGTAATAACTTCTGGTTGTTTTTTCGGGAGGCCATGTTCTAGATTTTGGGGCCTGTTTGGAAAGATCGACAACCATGCCGTGGCATGGCACTGGAAATAAAGACGCCAGCGCTGCAGCGGAACACGGTTCGGAACGACGGATGCGCGGAAATGAGGCCCGCACTGCAGCGGGAGCACGATTCGGAACGAGCGGTAGCCTGAAAATGAAGCCGGCGGCCAGCGCATCAGCGAGAGCAGCACTTTGACAAACAAACCTAAACGCGGAAGCCCGGAAATGAGGACGCGTAGCCCGACATAGCATGGCGTGGCGACGCCCCCAAACTGGCGGGGGGCTTCTGCAGCAGAAAAATCAACGAATCGGCACCGAATGCGTAATCATTTCCAATGGGTTTTTCGGGGGGGCGTGTTCTAGATTTTGCGGCCGCCGTGACATGGCGCTGGAATTAATGACGCCAGCGCTACAGCGGGAGCACGATTCGGAAAGAGCGGAAGCGCGGAAATGAAGCCACCGCTGCAGCGGGAGCGCAATTCGGAAAGAGCGTTAATCCGAACATGAAGTCAGCGCTTCAGCGAAAACCGCATTTTGATTTCTGTAAAATAAAAACGCGGAAGCGCGGGAATGAGGACGCGTAGCCTGACATAGCATGGCATGGCGACGCCCCCAAATGGCGGGGGGCTTCTGCGGCCTGGAAAATCAACGAATCGACAACGAATGAATAATAACTTCCGGTTGTTTCTTCGGGGTGGCATGTTTAAAAATATGTTTGGGCCTGTTTGGAAGGACCGAAAACCATGCCGTGACATTGCGCTGGGAATAATGACGCTGGCGCTGCAGCGGGAGCGCGATCCGGAACGAGCGGAAACACGGAAATGAGGCCAACGGTGCAGCGGGAACACGAGTCGGAACGAGCGGTAGCCCGAAAATGAAGCCAGCGCGCTTCAGCGAGAGCAGCAGATGTCGGGCCAGGCCACGACTTCATTCACGACAATGTCGACGACAACCTGGGTTATCCGCTGGGCGGGTGCGGGCGTGCCGGCCGATTATTTTTTCGCTTGGACAGCCGCACGATTCGGAACGAGCGGTAGCCTGAAAATGAGGCCGGCGGCCAGCGCATCAGCGAGAGCAGCATTTTAGGGAGGCAAAGACCAAGCGAAAACCCCTTCCCCGGGAATCCTGCGCGAAAAAAGCCAGCACGCGCAGAGGGGGCCGAATATTACCCAGACGCCACCAAGAGATAGAGGACAGTAGCATTCATTTTGTGGGCGCGCGCCTCGCGCGCGAGCCGCTCAGAGCCAACCGGGGCCCGCTGGCTGCAGCGAGTGCCCGCAGGAACCAATGCCGGCGGCGCGCCAGCCCCCGCGCCGACGCCCTGTTCCAGAGCGCGCAGCACCGCCGCGGCGGCGGACGCGACCGCCGCTGCGCCGAGCGCCTCCGGGTCGCGCGCCAGGGCGGCCAACTGCTCGACTGCGCCCCGGGCGCCCGGGAAGGCCCGCGCGGCGGCAACCGCACGCACCGCCGCCGCCTGCGCCCCGCCCTCGCAGGCGGCGGCGGGCGCCTGGGGCCCGCGGTCCGTCGCTGGAGCCCGCGGCCGTCGGCGGCCTGCCGCTGGGCGCGTTGGGCCCAACGGCGCCGGAGGCCGGTGGTCCGTCGCCTCGCTGGCGCCTGGCCGGGGCCAGCTCGCTGGAGGGGCCGAGCCCGCGTGCTTATTGCGCAGGGCGGCGCCGGGCCCGGGCTGCAGCGCCCCCGCTTTTGCCTCCTCCGCCCAAGGCCCGCGTCGGAGGGTCCCCGCGGCGGCGTCGCCGCCGCAAGGCCGCCCGCGGCAGCGCCGCCCTGGGCCGGGGGCGCGGTCACGGCCGCGGTACCGCCGGCACCGCCACGAGCGCCCCCGCTTCCGGGATCGGCGCGCGCTCCCGCGGCTTCTTGCGCTGTCCAGGGTTGCTGCTGTCGCTCCTGCTCCGCGGGCGCCGCCTCCGTGGAGTTCGCTCGCACCGCGCCGACGTCCCTTCCATGGGGCCGCGCGGGCTCTCCCCCGTCGGCGCGGCCGCTGGCGCGCGCGTCGCTGCGGGCGCCTTGGAACCGCTGCGCCCGCGGTTGCCCCGGCGCCTGCGCCGGCGGCGGGGCCGCGCGCTGCTGCTGGGGCTGCGCCGGCGCGCCGGGCGCCGGAACCGGAGCCGGTGGCGCCTCGCTGGTGGTGCGCTGGGACTGCTGGCGCGCGCCCGGCGCCAGCGCAAGCGGTGCCTAGAAGCCGTCGCGGCCGAGCCCTCGCCAGCCGAGGGCCTGCGGGCTGCCGCGGCGCGCGGTCCCCCGCGGTTCCTCCCCAGGGCCGCCGCCTTCGCCGTCGTCAGGGGGGAGACGGCGCCCTCACGCCGTCAACAGGCGCCAGGTGCGCAGTCGGCCGCCTCGGGGGGGCCGTCGGCACCCTCACCCCGCCCGGCGTCACAACACAGTTTCCACCACAGAGCTTGAACAACATAGCGTCCACCACATAGCTTACAGTGCATAACTTGTACCGCGTAGCTTACATCGCGCAGCTTCCACTCCATAGACCCCACCTCCAGCTCACACCGCACAGCTCACTCGCCACAACTTACACGTAGCTCACACCGCATAGTCCCACCAGCCCTTTGGGCGTGAGTGGTTTAGCGAGCTCTCTCTGTCCTCAACCCCCCTTCTTCTCCTTCGGGGAAAGGTTTACTCCTCCCCCTATCCCCCCCCCCCCTGGGCCTGGAGAGGGCGGGCCGCGGGTCGTCAGGGGGGTCAATTTCGACTCCTGGGAGGGCTAAAAAAACGACACCCCTCACGAGGATTCTGGCCCCGACGGGGGGGGGAAGATAGAGCCCTCTCCTCTTCTTTGAAGCGAAAATCATTGATTTTACTACGGTTTCGGCCCCATTTTGGCCTTCTGAGGGGGCAGCGCTCCTCTTCCTTCATAGCAAAATCATTGATTTTACTAAGGTTTTGGGCTCATTTTGTCCTTCTCAGGGGGCAGCGCTCATTTGCGCTTCTGAGGAGGTCGCAAGAGGCCCCAAGCTGGCCCCAAGAGGCACCCAGGAGGCTCCCAAGAGGCCTCCAAGAGGCCCCGAAGAGGCCCCCAAGAGGCCCCAAGAGGCCCCCAAGAGGCCCCCAAGAGGCCTCCAAGAGGCCCCAAGAGGCCCCAAGAGGCCCCCAAGAGGCCCCCAAGAGGCCCCCAAGAGGCCCCAAGAGCCTCCAAGAGGCCCCCAAGAGGCCCCACGAGGAGCCCGAACGACTCACACCAGGACGAGGGCCCCGAACGACTCGCACCACGAAGAGCCCGAACGACTCACACCATAAGGAGGTGCCCGAACGACTCACACCAGGACGAGGCGCCCGAACGACTCACACCACGAGGAGCCCGAACGACTCACACCACGACGCGGGCCTCGAACGACTCACACTACGAGGAGCCCGAACGAGTCACACCAGGAGGAGGCGCAGCGCTCATACAAGCCCCGCAAGATGGCCCCCAGAGGTCCACCAGATGGCCCCAAGAGGTCCCCCGATGGCCCACAAGAGGTCCCCAGGAGGCACCACGAGGAGCCCGAACGACTCACACCACGACGAGGGCCCCGAACGACTCACACCACGAGGAGCCCGAACGAGTCACACCAGGAGGAGGGGCCCGAACGACTCACACCAGGACGAGGGGCCCGAACAACTCACACCACGAGCAGCCCGAACGACTCACACCAGGACGAAGAGCCCGAACGACTCACACCACGAAGAGCCCGAACGACTCACACCAGGAAGAAGGGCCCGAACGACTCACACCAGGACGAGAAACCCCAAACGACTCAAACCACGAGGAGCGCTTCCT